GGGCGGCCAGAGCGCCGGGGGGAGGGCGGCGAGCCCGGCTGTGGCCCCGCTCTCCCCGGCGGCCGGAGCGCCACGCCGCCCCCCTCCAGGTGCCGCCCCAAGCACCAGCTTGGGTGCCTGGTGCCTGGAGCCGGCCCTGGCTGCTAAATGATGAACTAGCACTCAGTTGAGCCCTCAAGGGTTAACACGTTGTTAATGTAGCCTCTCCGACAAGGCAGCATGAACACGAGGGAGAGGAGACAGCATGGCAGACAGAGACAGACACAGAGAGAGAGAGATGCACACTGACCCTTTAATTAAGCTGACCCACTCTTAAGTGCATTGTCTTTTTAAGTGGATCAGGAAGTTGAGACAACAGCTGCTGCCCCAGGCTCTCTGTCGGTGTCCCCTCCCTGCTCTATATGGAGAAGGGGTAAGCGGGGTGCAGGAGCAGGGAGGAGGGGGACACCCTGACATTAGCCCCCCCACCCTTCCGCCCCTGCACAGCAAGCAGGAGTCTCTGGGAGCAGCTCTAAGGCAGAGGGCAGGAGCAGCACATGGCAGTGGGGGGAGGGACAGCTGAACTGCCGGCAATTGATTGGGCGGCTGCCGCACAGGGAACTTAGGGGAGCTGATAGGGGGGCTGCCGGTCCACTCTGGTTACAAGCCCCCACCAGCTAACTGCAACAGGCTGTTCTTCCTGCAAGACATTAGAAGGGAGTATTGCACAACTTTAAACAAGTATGTTCCCTAATTGGTCAGCAACGTAACAACGAAACAACATTAACCAGGACGGCTTTCAGTGAGGAGTTACTGTCACTACTTGAGAGTTCTGAGACCTGATTCAGTGGAATGGACAGGCAAGCAGACTCAGACACCCCCCCATACAAGTGAAGTCCAATCTTCTGCATTTCTGACATGGGTTCCCAGCCTCTAGCCAACACTGTGTTTAATGCTACTGATAACTGCCCATGCTAGGTAAGAGTGAAAAATCAATTATTCCTCCCCTCCCCAGCTATCTGTTAATATTTTGAGCTCTCAAGTATGTGCTAGGTACCTCACGAAAACAAGGGTAAGAAATATCATTTTTGATGCACTGGAGAGGGATAAGGTGAAGAACCAGAAAACTGAAGCAGAAGAGTGTGTAGGAGGAAAGACAAGAAATGATAGGGGCGCTGTTGATGAGAGATTTACCATAGGCCTAGACACAAAGGACCAGATTTTTTCAAACATTGTGGAAAAGCAGTAATGGGATTAAATTGCTGTCCGGATTTGAAGGGAGGAGTCACGGATAACCTTCTGAATACAGGTCTAGGTGATAAGGATACCAGTGGTGCTATCCACAGCATACAATACAGAGCCATTTCCTCATTATGCACTAGCCAGAGGTTAAGTCTGCAAGTTTTACAGTTCAGTCATATGAAGAGAACAGTTAAGGTATTATGTTAAAACTGAAAAAAGTAAGTTTTGCCCATTTGCCTAGCTGATATGAAAGAACAGATTTTTCACAAACTTAAACAACCCCCCAAAAAAACTTTTAGCTGAGACCAAGTATGGAAGGTTTCAGCCCAAAAGGAGATATTATAAGCAAGTGAAAAATTGAAATTTATAGCATAAGATGAGTTGCAATATATTCGAGAGACAGTTTACTGAGTTATAATCACAGCAACTATACTTTAATCCAACCTGGCAGCACTCACAGGGACATTAGTTTTAGCTATTTCCAATTAAATTAAATTTTCAGCACTAAATACAATCTGTACATGTGTGCCTCATAAGAGCTGGCTACATTTTGTCAACACCAGTAGTTTCTTCTCTCATTTCAGAGTGCATTTGAAGTACTTAAAGTGGATAAGCACTTTTTGTTAATCAAAAACTATAAATAAGATGGCAATTGCTGAATCATTTGTAAGACTGAAAGCCTATTATCCACATGAGAATTCAGCACAATTGAACAGTAGTCATTTAAAATCAGTTTAACAAACACAAGTTTTTTCTAGAGTTAATACAAAAAGTATGCTTGTGGTAGAATGCAATACACACAATTTACCTACTAAAATGCTGCCTTGGCTACTTTCTAATACATAATTCCACCTACACGTACCAAATGAGGGGTTCTGTAAACTCATTTCCTCCCCCAAAAACCATATCGACTAAAGTAGATAGTGATAAGATATTATCTTACTTTAGGCAGATATAACTAAGTTCCTCCTTTATTTTGTATAGAGGATGGATGCCAGGCAAAGCACTGTCTTCCCCTCAGCCTTTCAACTCTAACAGAAAAAGAGCACACTAAGAGGGCTATCCTCTCTAAAACAGCCATTTTCTTTCTAGTACCATGCAAATAAATAAATAAATAAATAAAATAACATAAAAAAAAGAGACAGCAAGATATAGTATCTGCCCCTTATGATCCAGACACTCAAAACCATTCATACACAAAATGCTCTGAATGACTAAGAAGATGCTGCTGTACAGTGCACAAGCCAATTCTGACGACAGGTGTGCAACGCCATTTATTACACTGGTGAAGCAAGCATTACTCATCTGGTGACTAGAACCGAGATCTGGAGCAGGGATTTTCAACCTTTTTCTTTCTGAAGCCCCCCCATGCTATAAAAATGCCAGGGCCCAGCAGAGAGGGGGCAGGCCCTCAGCGTTTCAGCTGGAGGGTGCTCGGGGCTTCAGCCGTGGGGTGGGAGGAGGGGGTTTGGGGCTCTGAGCTTTCTGCCCTGGGCCACAGCCAATCTAATGCTGGCCCTGCTTTGTGGCCCCCCCTGAAACCGGTTTGTGGCCTCCCAATTGAGAACCCCCCAGTTGAGAGCCGCTGATCTAGGTATTCTAAATGAGGCCCAGAGGCTTTCATGTACTACCTTCCACTCCTCCCCTTCGCTTATTTTGCTGATATTAAATCAGACCCATCGTTCAGGCAGTCTCTAATGAGACTACTGCATAGAGGCCACTCTAAACACATTATACATCTTGTATGTCCTTCCTTTTACCTTGGCCCCAAGAGGCTGAGGGAGCCAGATGCCCAATGCTTCCAGTCCAACTGAAGAGAGGAAGCCCTGACACTAGGCCACCAACCCAATGGCCCTGAAGTCCTCTTTCAGTCTGACATAGCTATGTCTCAAAAGGATCCCACTAAGTGCTTTCTAGGCTTTTTTCAAACAGGATCCCTGAGCACAGGAAGGGAAAACATGAATCCCCGCACAAAGCAATCCAGGGAGGCTTTCTGCTGTGCCTGATATGACTCCAATTGTGTGCAGTAAGGCAGCATCTCAGATGTCATCCTTTGGCCTAATCACTGTGGTTATTTTGGGCAAGTCGACTCAACTGCTAAGCAACCAATTTTTTTTTTTAAAGCAAAATGTAGATGGATTTTCAAATACAACATGTAGTAGTTCTGCTAGGATGCACGTTACAACTCTCCTGTATCTCTGGTAACATTTCACACTTGAGAGACTGTTTGTTTGTTTGTGGGCATTGACCCTGCAGCAATCTCATTCTTTTATTAAAAAGAATTATTACATTTGCTCAAGTGAAAAAGCTCATGACAACACAACAGAGACAAAGAGCTTTTTATAGCCAGTCCAATGAAAGCGGCCCACTTGTTTTTGGACAGAGGTGGAGAGTACTTGGGGCCCTGCAGTCAGAAAGTTTTGTCCCCCAAATGACTCAGGGTGGTACATATTCTAAATGTGGGACATCTCACAGTATAGTCAATATTGTGGCAAGTCATTTACTTTTAATGGTGTCCACCACAGGGTGAGGAGGACAAGATCCACCAACAACATTCTTCACACACTGATTAAGACAGCAACAGCCACAGGTCACTTCTTTGGCTGGATGCAAAGCAGGCAACTCTATATCTGATTACCAACTACCTGAATCAGCCACTGTCCCACGTTTATGTACACCAACATATACAAAGATGGCTGCCTCAATAAATCTGGGGAGAAAATGGCTGTCTGAATGCAATTTAATATACTTGCTATATTAACTACGCTTATTATTCTAGAAAAAAAAAACCCTCAATTTGTGTTTTTAAAGAGCAGTAAACTGGTACTTGAAGCCCAACAAAAGGCTAGACGTGACAGAAACGTGCTTCAAATGAAAGCGACTCCCCTTGCACACTACCTTTCCTCCAGCTACAGCCACAGGACAGCGAGAGAGAGAATACTTTGGCTACTTACTCTGTAAATCTCCTCAAGCAGCAGCTTTGCACAGTTCAGGCCGAGTTCTTCTGGGAGTACAGCAGTTCCCTGGCCCTGGGGATTAGATGCCAGTTCAGCACCCAGAAAAGTGCCATTGGTGGTTTCTGCGACAAGGGACAGGCCAAAACCTGGAGACCTGAAAGACAATGACAGAACTGAAAGGTGTATCTGGTTACAGTATGTGAAGAGCTAAAAGGAAGAAACGAGTTCATTTTAACTCTCTCATACAGGTCTCCAACAGTGCTCTCCGCTAGGAGGCTACTTGACTTGCACTGAATAATTGGTTACTCTAACAGCATTTCAGGATTAAACCAAGCCAAAAGCTGCCCACTATTATGCTGGTTATAGCGCTGCCATTTGCAAGCCTAACATGAATAGTCTTTATATGTTCATTTCATCTCTCTCATTACTGTTACTTCCACCTCATTTGCAATCAAAAACAAAACAAACATTTCCCTAAGGAGCCAAACTCTATTTGGAAGGATGCTTCTGGATTTGGCAAGATCAGAATACAAATGTGGCACCAGATGCAAGTAATTAATACTTTAATCCTGTATTATTCACCAGCTCTCCTTGATTGTTTCCACTTTAAGCCAACAGGTCAAAGCATCAGTTCTATAGAAGAATTCCATAACTCCTATTCTGTGGCAGAATCCCCTTACCAGAAAGCCCAGAATAATGCCAATATACAATGCTACCTTATTTTACTGCAGGTGTGAAGGTGGGGTTTGTCTTACCAGAAAGCCTGAAGAAGAGCTCTGTGTGGCTCAAAAGCCTGTCCCCCTTTCACCAGCAGAAGTTGGTCCAATAAAATATATTACCCTACCCACCTTATCTCAGAAATCCAGAGATAGCTGAGCACAGTTTACTGAGAAGTCCAAACAATACCCTTTGTCTTTTATTCATACAGTTGTCTCATTTTAAACTTTAGAAGAAAACTGGCAAATGGCTGTTAAAATAAAGTTAGCTTAACTCTCCTCAATGTGTAAGTTTTCCTACAACACATGAATTAGGGAAAGTGCCACTGGACTCCCTCTCCACTACTCAGGCCTTTTCATCAGAATGGTCTAAATCTAAATTCATTATTACTGACCTAACAGCAAGGAACGCCTTCATACCAAACACAGAGCACAAGAGCTATGCAGCCAAACTACAGTGTGTACCTCCTCAATGCTTCTAATGCCCCTGAGGTTTATTATGGCTCCTGAATGCCTAACAAGATCTAGTTCTGCTGGGAAAAGAAAGCACCCTTGACTGCTGTAGGACAGTCAAAATATGTAGTTCGTTCACAAAAATGGCACTAAGGATGATTTTGCACCCAGAACTCCCAGGGCTCAGAATGATGGCAGGAAGTTATTGTTTCAGAAGAATATGCATGATCTACAACAAACGCCCCATACATGATCACGACAGAGAATTCTAGCAGCAAACTCACAAAAAAGTGCATTGTCTAGACCAGTGTTTTTCAACTGGTGGATTGCAACTTCAGGGGTGGAGAGGTGTCATGAAGGGCAATCTGAGGGGTCAGGAGGCATTGAAATTTGTATTGCAACCTCAAGCAAAGACAATCTCGATCTCTCACTCCTTGCACACCCTTCCCCTTGAAGGTCAAGTATTCTCTGTCAATGACTTGAAACATACAGGCAAATAAATTATATACACTTGCTGTCACTGATATATTTACTATAAAAGTAAGAGGATCATGAAAATTTTTGCCTTTGAATAAGAGATCACCAATCTGAAAAGGCTGAGAAATGCTGATGTAGATGAATGCACAAGCCACCTGACATCACCGATAGCAACTTCCTAAGAATCCCAAAGTATATGCGACAGAGCGTCAAATAAAGCAGCATTCTCTGCCACTGACCAGCATATTCATAGCTTTTACTCTGTTCAGAGTTTGGAGAGAGTTTTCTGTATCGCTTTAAGGGTCTGAAAAGGAGAACTTTTGCCTTGTTCTCTGTTTCTAATGGCTCACATATGACAAGCAAGATGAATTCACAAGCTACAAGTCTCCAATTGCTAATTCACTAGTCACAAGGCTGAGAAAAAGCTCGTGAACACAGACACAAAAAAGAACTTGTGCTACAGAATCTCACATATGAGAAACAAAAATCAAAGCCTGTTTCCTTTGCCATGAATGCAATTTGCTTTAAACTGTTATCTCAAAAGAAGATCTTGAGGGTGGGAGGTATGGAAACAGGTAAATGATTGCTCAAAGGAGGGATACAACAAGACAAATCAAATGACTAACAGTTTAATCTTTTCTGAATTCAGTTTGAGTAAATTACATGCCATTCAATCCTAATTGCTGCAGACAATTATGCCACAGCCTGGCACGATTTCTCAGTGGCAATCTCTGCTCAAGAGAGGCCCCTGTATGGAGACTGGCTGGCAAAGGGTCAATGAGGAAAGGGTTCTCTGGTATGAATGGGAGTTCAGTTTTAATTGTTTGTCTGGGGTGCGAGGGAAGAAGGAGAGATTACATTTGAATTTCCTTCAACTACAGGAGTCAATTAGGAAACTCAAATTCCTCCTACAGTTAAGCAATCCATCTTTCATTTGCTCCTGCTCCCAACCCCTCCTCCCCACCTCTGCATTTGACAATCAGGATTTTTGACACACCTCCTTCACCCCCTATTTCACCTCACTCACCTTCTTAGCTGAGCTACTCACTCACTCCCCACTCTCCCCCCCGCCATGTGAGGGGATTGTTCTTTGACAGGACCCTTCATTTACTTCTTCCTGTCAGAGACCCTGTATCACCCTAGTAATCCCTTCAATTGAGACGGACAAGGTGTGGCTCCCTCAAGAACTCATGGAGGATTCAGGCGGCCATAGCACAAGAGGACAGGTTCCTAAAGAGCACAGTGAGGTACTGTCAGCCCATGCTGACCCGAAGAGCAAAGCAGTAAAGTCAGCCCCATTCTACCACGCACTGCTGTTGAACCACTACTGCAGCTTCTCCACCCCAGCCCCCCAGGAGAAAGTACTTGTATTGCTTTCTCCCCACCCACAACCCTACACATCGCACGCCCCAGCAGCAGGCCATGTAGAGTTAAACTGATGCACTCTTGGCCAGTTGTTTCTTTCTACGACAGCTTATTTGCCAGCACTACCGCAGAACAGGGGGGAGGGATAGCTCAGTGGTTTGAGCATTGGCCTGCTAAACCCAGGGTTGAGTTCAAGCCTTGAGGGGGCCATTTAGGGATCTGGGGCACCACCAACAACAACACCAACAAAAACCTGTCAGGGACAGTACTTGGTCCTGCTAGTGAAGGCAGGGGACTGGACTTGATGACCTTTCAAGGTCCCTTCCAGTTCTATGAGATAGGTATATCTCCATATATATGGTAACAGCATCATCTAGATCCTCCCAAAAGGGAGTTTCAAGAGTGTGTGGAACACACAAGGAATTGCACGACAGTAGTGATCCCACCCATATCTAACTGTCTGTGTTTGCAGAGCGATGTGGGACATATATTAAGACATGTCCTTTCTTCTTACCCTCCTAGTTGGAACAGAGACAGAAAGAGCATCTGGAAAGTAAGATGGGAACAATACCAAAGGACGTCATTTCTTGGTGGCTAGCAACCACGACAGTGCTCTGTTAGTAAACTTGCTCTCTAGCTTTCATAAATTAGCAAAACCTGCACAGGGTGATAATGGATTTGGCTCACACAAATGAAGATCTAATTCCTCCTGTAGTTGCAAAGGGCATCTGCTACCCTTTGCATTGATGAACTTTCTGGTGCAAGTCCCCAGACATATAAACAGAGGAATACAACTCAGAGGATTTCTCACTCCCCTTTTCAGAGGTGCTTTAGGCTAGGGGTTGTGAAAGAGGCTAAGATGCTGGATTTCCTGAAGATGCTGGTATAGAGGAAGGGACTCCGCAATCCTTTTTACCTTGGAAGTCAAAATCCAGGATGGTGCATATGTGCTTGATCAGTCATTGCTAATCCTATTTATCCCCAAGACAAGGACAATGCTGGAAATGACAGGGCAGGCTTCCACGTGCTACCTTGCTAATTTGTGCCAACCAAGACCGAGGAACCAATTGTAAGAATGAGGAGAGTTCAGTATCCAGGCCCATTAAGTCCTTAACCCTTCTTTGCAAAGGCTGTCAACCCAGGTGCCAAATGCCATAGTATTTTACAATGCAGACCTGTCTAAAAGGAGTTTGTCTCAGTTCACTTCTTTTTACCACTTTGCTGTCAGGTAAAATCATGCCTCAGAAGTGAAAGGTTCATAACCTTGGCTTACTGTTAATACCTTGAGCCACAATACCTAGTCTCCAGGAGTGTTAAGTGAAGTGAGGTGGAATGACAGAAAAGAAACTGTCTGAAACAAGCAATCATTTCACATAAAGTAGGTTATAGTCAACAACTATTCGGTGCAGATTTTTAGACTTGCAAACATAACCAGTACAGGGTAACACTTTCCAAATCACTTAAATTCCATTTTCAGGGGTGACAGAAGCCTAACTCATTAGAAGCACCTTGTTAGAGGCTTTTGAATTTTTATCCATAATCTAACGTAAAGAGCTTTAAGCTGTTCTGACTCAAAGGCACCGTAAATACAAAGGAATTCACTTTTCAGCTGCTGAGCCCTTGGCAGTTCCCAGCGGCTATGACTGAAGTTGTGGATATTCAACATTTCTGAAAATCCAACACAAAGTAGTTGATTTACATGCAGTTTACATGTACAAGGTGCCAAACGAGGGGTAAAATGCACCCAGCAAGCTAGGCACTTATATGGCCCTCATCACCACAATATCCAAGTGCTTCAAAACCATTTACGGATTTTATCCTCAACACCCGTATGAACTAGGGAAGTATTACCCTCATTTTACAGGTGGGGAACTGAGACACAGACTGGATCAAATGACTTGCCCAAGGTCACACAGGGTGTCTTGTGGCTGAGCTGCAAACAAAGCCCACTTCTCTTAAGTCCCAACCCCATGCTCCATCCACTAAGCCACCCTTCCTACCCACAACTTGTCGGACTCTGGGCCCCAAAGCACTTGCAATAGAAGACTCAGAGAGAAATCACAGGAGAGAGCAAATTGTGGGCTTATGGAGCTGGACAGAGTTTTCTGAGGTGGAGGGGGAAGGTACTTGGCAAACATTAAGTGGGAAGCAGTTCTAAGAATGCAAGCTCTGGCAAGAAAGTAGGCAAAAGGGAGCCACTACAAGAAAGACCTGGTGGTTAAGGAAGAGATGCAAGCAGGGCACACTGACTACAGTATTAAGTATATTATTGTGATGATGCTATTTTACCAACTACAAATCCGTACTGAAGAACAGGTATGAGTACCACGTTCTGCCCTTGGATGCATGTACAGGGCTCCCTTAGACTTCAGCAGGGCCCCTGGGCATGCATACAAAAACATGGCACAGTTTTCATGACGTACAATAGGCGTCAGCACTAAAGCAAAAGTTCACGTGTCCTCCACACTGTTTACAACACATTGGCCTTTTGAATCTTTTGGAGAAAGAAACAGTTTTGCAGGTGATCATTCATGCCACCACATAACCATGCACAATACTCTTTTATTCCTTTATCTTCCAGTTACCAGCCTGTTTTCAATTAAAGCACTTCCCCTTCCCTGTGGTCACCAACAACTAAAAAAAAAAAAAAGAGTGCATCGTTTAAGCAAGTGAAAGAGAAAATGACTGGAACAGTGTTTGTTCGGGGTGTTGTGCATATTAGAAACAGGAAAGGCTAGAGACAGTTATTCAAGGTTTCCTCCACCTTCACCCACAAATGACAAGTTACTGGAATTTGGCAGGTCTTAACAAAACAGTTCCTCAGTTTGTCATGCTATGTCAGAACTACAATATCTCCACCTTGCTTCACGTTCATGTTTTGCTAATGAACCAGATCAATAAAATGTATTAGTATAATGACTTTTACATGCTCGCTCTCATTCAGTTCCTAGGCATCAGACTTCACAATTGAACTGTGTATGGGGAAAAAAGTTACCATGTATAGGTCAGTAATGAGTTTTGCTTTATTTAAATTGTTTGGTCTCACCCTGCAGGCATCACCATTTCCAACAAGAAGGCTATAATCGGATTCGAATCGGAGCCTTCACACCATACCTACTCCACCCACTGAACTTTTGTCATATCTTATACGCAGTGCTAGACTGAAACAACAAATTAAACACCCAAGAAAGCACTCAAGGAAATGTTACCTTCATTGGATGTACTGTAATGTTACATTGCATAGTTAAGAAGCAAACTACATAAATCTAGACACAATATTTTGAGGACCTGCACAATCAAGTATTTCATTTTTCTTGTAAGGACTCATTCATTAAACAGCAAAACAGATGACCAGGTCCTAAAGATTAAATGCACTATCAAACTTGACAGCATACTTTAGTCCAAAATATCAAACTTAAAAAAACATTAGTATGATTTTAAGTTAGATTCCTTGGAATCCTCAATACTTACTTTCCAGAACTGGTCCCCTTCATGTGATCTGTGTAGATATAAATATCTGGTATAAACTTATTTAGGATGCTTCTTGCTGAATCCACGATTCTGTTTGCTATCTGTGGCGACACTCTGACAGAATACCTATGTTATGAAGTCAAGGAATTTATTATAATAGGAAGGTACTTTAAACCAGAAAGATGGCTAGTGCACAAAGAGGTTTCAATACATTCTTTTGGATATTTGGTTTTGCAATCTATGTCCACTCATGGATGCCAGCCCATCTTTCAACCTGAATTTATACTTTTCTATAGCTGCATGCATTCTTATTGCTTTCTACACTCTTTTTATAATTCTCTGATTTTGACAGTGAACCTGTACAGAAGACCCCCCCATTATAACTAAGAAAACTCCTGTCTTAAAAGGTGATCTTCAAAGGATATTTTTTTAAAGGGCTGCATTACCTTTTGCTTTTTTTAATGTGTGCAGGCCTGAATGGTTGTGGTTTTGTCCTACCCTTTTAAAGGACTGGTGGGGGGTGGGGTGGGGTTCTTCTTGTTTTTGTGTCTTAGAAATATCAACAAAGTGAACTCTGGTCTTCCCGGGCTTTGCTGGAGGACCTCCTCTAGGGGAGAGGGTTTCAGATCTCTCTCACCTTTACAGAAGTGGGATACCAAATCTTTAAACAAAAATCCTCTCTCCAAAATGATCCCTAGTCATGGAAGTGGGGTTTATCTCCAAAGGCCTCCTTCCATGCTTTTTAAAATATTTCAGATTTTTCTATTCAAGCAGTAATAGTGATCGCTCTATCCATAGTTTCAAGGAAGCAATACTGCCCCTCTGTATGTTGGGGAGAAACCTATGTTCAAAAGCCCAGAATATTCATGTATCAGAGGGATAGCCGTGTTAGTCTGAATCTGTAAAAAGCAACAGAGGGTCCTGTGGCACCTTTAAGACTAATAGAAGTATTGGGAGCATAAGCTTTCGTGGGTAAGAACCTCACTTCTTCAGATGCAAGTAATGGAAATCTCCAGAGGCAGGTATAAATCAGTATGGAGATAAGGAGGTTAGTTCAATCAGGGAGGGTGAGGTGCTCTGCTAGCAGTTGAGGTGTGAACACCAAAGGAGGAGAAACTGCTTCTGTAGTTGGATAGCCATTCACAGTCTTTGTTTAATCCTGATCTGATGGTGTCAAATTTGCAAATGAACTGGAGCTCAGCAGTTTCTCTTTGGAGTCTGGTCCTGAAGTTTTTTTGCTGTAAGATGGCTACCTTTACATCTGCTATTGTGTGGACAGATATCAGGAATGGCAATATACAAAAACCTGTAGGAGAACACTTCAACCTCCCTGGCCTCCTTCAACTGCTAGCAGAGCACCTCACCCTCCCTGATTGAACTAACCTCGTTATCTCCATACTGATTTATACCTGCCTCTGGAGATTTCCATTACTTGCATCTGAAGAAGTGAGGTTCTTACCCACGAAAGCTTATGCTCCAATACTTCTGTTAGTCTTAAAGGTGCCACAGGACCCTCTGTTGCTTTTTACAGAATATTCATGTTCTTCCCGACGGAGAGAAAGTAAAATGCCTGAGAAACAGCTACTCACTACACTTGAACGATATTGCTTTTCATCTGGCTTGACAGAGGCAACATCCTGCCACTGAGTCTGTTAAGAGTGAGCAAGCTCAGGGAAATAAAAAAGCAAGGCCAGATTTAAAAAGGGGAGGGCCAATTCCAGCGTAGCTGACCTGTGATGGTGCATTGAAACATGGGCAAGAAAGGAAAAGGGGATGTTAAGATTATGACCACGTATCTGTGTGTGAATTGACAAAACAACATATAAATATACAGGGTGGAGGTGACAGAGGCATTGAGAAACTGTTCTCTTCATGCAAATCAGTTCTGGAAAGACTGTGACAAAGAGTGGAATGCAATCAAACACTTAGCTGCATCCTTGTTGATCTTACAGTATATAACTGAATCAACAGACTCTTTCAGTCTGGTGAGAATGTACCAATCCCAACGCTGCAATTTGAGATTCTGGACAAAGTGATCCATTCTCGTGTACATCACAAGGGAGATAATGAGAAAGTGCCACAAGTAAAAGGTGAATGCACTGTAAGTCAATGCCTCTGGCAGGAAACCTGTCTCTGCTCCAGTTTTCCCTTCAGGCTGATGGAAACTGGATTGTTTGGGACCTTTTTTTTTTTTTTTTTAAGTTTATAGTTACATACTGAGCTACAAGTTACACAATGCTCCAGGGGAGCAGGAGCTCATGGGAGTGAACTCCAACACTGTTTCCCCCAAAGGGAAGAGAATAACTACACTTCTGATTGAGTGAACTTCTTATTGTCTTAATACGACAGGAACAGAAGGTTTGAGAAAGATACAGTGTGAAAAACAAGAGGAAAGAAAGCACTAAACATGAGGGTCTGCTCCATATGCTTGCACAGTATGAGCTTGTATTTTGCCATAGTGTACCACGTCCCTTGCATTACACATCATCCACTTCCATCCCTGACTGTATTATTGGAGGTCTAAGAGCTAACAGACTATACCAGTAACACAGAAGTGGCATAAATGCATATGTGTGCTGTGCAGTACAAACTGAGCTTAAATTTAGGCTCTCACTCTACATACATTTAGTATAATCACTATTGAAAGAAAGGAGCCTAACAGGTCAACCTACAATAAACCAACTAAGTTTTTTTTTTTTTTTTTTTTAAATAAATCTAATAGTGAGGTTCCCTTTTTGGTATTGCTACACGACACAGAATCATATGTAGAGTTGGAAGGGACCTTGAGAGGTCATCTAGTCCAGTCTTCCATGCTGAAGAAGGCGTAAGTGATGGGAAAGCATTTCTATTTTCCTTGCTACTTAAGCATTTCTGGTAAAAAAACACCCTTATCATCGGTTTTCATTTTTTTATTTACTTGTTTCCTGTTGAGTTTTGGATAAGGACTTCATACTGTTATGCTGCAATCCAATAACCTGTGTGATAAGCACAGCAATATGTATCTATATTACTCTGGTGTACACTGAACCACATGATAAATTGCTATCCGCAGAAGGTTAATGAAAAAAAACACAGAGAAAAAAAAAAAAGATACGCAGTTCCTCTGATCCGTTTGATTTTGCCAGGGTCTGTGGACTGAATGGGTCGCAAGACTTTCCTAACTGGACAGGCAAATATCACCTCTCCACCTCCTTTGGGGGGCATTCCTCTTCTAGTTATCTGGCCACCACAGTAAAAAAGGAGCAAACAGGTTAGCAAACAAATGAAAGAAGACATCTACAAATTCAAACAGATGACTTTTATTCCACTTATACTAGAACATTAACAGTAGAGGCCAGTGTCACATGAATACAGGAAAGGCAACGCTAACACCTATGGCGATGCTAGAGCTAATTTACACCAAGAGGTAAAGATCATTCTCTATCTAATTTAAAATAGGATGGACAATGCCTGCCACTGAGAAATCTCCATTGAACATTAAGTGAAAGGAATAATAAAAGCAGATCTGTGCATTGGTGCTGGAGAAATGACTTGCTTCTGAAGGAATTTAATGAAGATTCTCAGATGCTTAGCATGCAAAGGACTAAATCAAATCCCCAACTCATCCTCATTAACCAAACAGAAAGCAACAAGGGTACAGATGTTTCAGTCTGTCAGAAACAGCAAATATTTAAAATAATTAACCCATGTGCACACTAAGTAGGTATTTAAAAAAAAAAAGTCAGCTAATAGTTAGGAACTCCTGTCTGGCAGGAAACAGTGCGGAAGGGTATTTGTTTTGTTTTCTTTAAATAAGATTAAGTTTGGAGGGACCACAATTTCTTCTCCTTACCCAATCCCTGACCCAGCTCAGACCCACATTTTGGGATCTGCCAAAGGTACAATAATTAGTGGACTGTGGGGGAGACGCCTCCCCAAATTGGAGGCAGCCCTGAATTTGCATAAGACTGTGGATTCAGTGGTTGTGTGTCTGCACTAATGGTAAGGGATGGGGGAATGGGGGAAGAGAGAGACAATCCCACTATCAGTACCTAGGGGTCAGAAGTGTAAGCAAAGGGAGATGGAAACTGAATGGATTGAAGAGGAGGAAACGATGCCGACCTTTTTTGGGGAGGCAGGAGAACATGGAGAGGAAGGAGAATGACTATTATTGCTGTCTTCCAACCTCTCCCACTCAATAATCTTGGCATTTCTCCCCCACTGCACGCTCCTGGACTCTGGCTTTGCTAAAGCCCTAAAAGGCCAACAAGATGGGCAAAGAATTTTTAGTAACACATTTATTAAAACCTAATGAGATAGTACATCTCCTAAAGACAAAATAGGGCAGGAAACACGTAGTCATGTGTGAACCAGGGCAAAATGTCATTTCAGCCAACATTAAAAATTATTACCTTCAGTTCAAAACCTTCACCATCAATTCCAAATTTTTTCAGCAAGGGCAGAGCTGTTGCCTTAAGTACATCCACCTAGAATAAAGCACAAAAAGCCAACCTCTTTACTACCATGAAATGAAACAGGCAATATTTATGTTCAAAGAGAGTTAAAGAATCATGTAAAGGTTTTTAAAGGATGGTCAATTACGAGCAGTCTAACAGGGATGGGCCCTCCAGACTAACAATACATACATATTATAGGCACAGCTGATGGTGCTGCCTACTATTAAGGTTGCCTGAAACTTCTCATTATAAGACCCTGTTTTCAGTTGCTTATAACTCTGCCCACACTTTAACTGTTTGGACTGAAATTTCCCATGCCAGATGTGTGCACTTTCAATTGTTTGAAAGTTGCAGCAAAAACAATGCAGCTGCTTTTTAGAATGAGGTTAAAGAAAAACATGTTTTGTCCACGTTAAATTCTTACAACCATTTCTTTGAGAAACCTTAGCACCTCCAGACTTTGGAGCAGGGACCTGAAATCAGGCAGGGGGAAGATGGCGGGGAGCTCTATCAGGGATGTTCCTTTTGCTGGTTCTGTGGGAAAACAGCCCCCAAATTTGGTCAAGTTATGAGCCTGGGAATAGTTTCAGTTTGGATATGTTCGGTAGAGACTTAAGAGTTTGGCAGTCCTCTGAACAGTCCGTCTGCACTGGGCATGCTCCAAGTCAATGGCTGAGCAGGGCCTTCCCTGCAATTGCTGCTCTTGGCAGCTGTGGCACTGGGCACCAGAATTGAGAGCAGGGAGACCATCTGTTCTTTGCTCTCAAAGCTCCTCCTGCTGGCGCCCAGGCAGCATTGAGGAAGCTCCGTGAATGGAATGCAGAGAGGACAAGAGCCAGACCTGGGAGAGCAGCAGAGAGAATGACCAGAGATGGATGAGGGGAGACTGGAATTCAGACAGGAAGCCCCCAGAGGGAAACTGGGACTGTCTGGGTAAGGAGAGTGACACTGGGATTGGAAGAGACAGGACTAGGATAGGCCAGGTGGTCTGTGACCACTATTAAATTAAATTAAATTTATGGAGATATCCTATCTCCTAGAACTGGAAGGGACCTTGAAAGGTCATTGAGTCCAGCCCCCTGCCTTCCCTAGCAGGACCAAGTACTGATTTTGCCCCAAATCCCTAAGAGGCCCCCTCAAGGATTGAACTCACAACCCTGGGTTTAGCAGGCCAATGCTCAAACCACTGAGCTATCCCTCCCGCCAACTAGAACCCACTCCCCTCCAGAATCTGCAATGGAAGCCAGATTCCAGAGTCTCACCGTTCCTCGGCTGGCAGCAAATATCTGTGAAATCCACTAGCAAAAGAGCACCCCATCTCCAGCTAGTAGCTGGCCCACATAGATGATTGCAACCTACTTCTGCTATCAGTTATTCTGCTAGCTCAAATGGCAGACATTTTCCACGTGGATCTAAAGGTTCAAACCCTATTTCTGAGCAACATGGGTGTTGATATGATGCCACATGATGGAATTTGTTTTTGTTTTGTTTTTTAAAAACCTAGGATGATACATGCAAAAAACTATAATAAAAGAATGTTAGACTTGCAAAGTTGAGGACTAAAGTTAGGAAATGACAAAATTAAGGTTGCCTGTGCACCCTTAATTCAGCCCCCTTGTGCATGAACATCATGATACAGATAATCAAATATGATTCTTTTAGCATACTTTTGTTTATTTATACACACACGGGTGCCTAAAGTTTTGAAAGTCCTCCTGAAATCCTGACAAGTTATCTGGGTTACATGAGAGTTACACAATGCTTCTCTCTCTCTCTTTTAAGAAAGTGTTTTAGTTCTGGTAAAAAGAACAGTTCTACTGTGCAAGCTAGGAAACCCCCTTTTGCAATCCACTGGGTTCAAAATACTCCTGGAGGAGGTAACTATGGGGAAAGCATGTTATGACCACACCATGGGACCAGATCAGCTTAAAGTCCAAGTGTGTCTTCAACAACTGCAAGAATTATTGTAATACTGTAGTCCCCAAACAAGATCAGGATTGTACTGGGCACTGTACAGACACATAATATAGACTGTCCTTCTCCCAAAGCGTTTACAATCTAAATAGAAAAGACAAGTGTTGGGGCCCAAAGAAGGACTATTATTCCCATGACACAGATAGATTAAGGATTTTGCCCAATGTCACACAAGTCTGAGCAAAGCTGAGAATTGAACCCAGATCTTCTAAATCCCTAATGCCTTAATCACACAACCATCCCTCCTCCTGAGCATCCTTGGATGGGAGCTGTTCCATCCCAGAGCCTTAGTTGTAAACCGCAATACACTGTCATGCTTTACCAAGGTTTGGCAGCCATAACAAAACTCAGGACTGCATTACAAAAATGCTGCCAGAATTAATACCTCTGTCCAGTGGTTACACTTATACAGGTTAGCGTTTGTGACCAAATGTTTCCTCATTTTTCCTTTTATTGTATTAAGAAAGCAAAATCATTTAAAAAAGCTATTCACTTGCCAAGAAACATTTTAAAAACCACCATTTTAATGAGACGACAACCAAAGTAAACCCCAACAATAGGTGATCCTCCTTCTCCTAGACAGCCATTAGTTAAAACTCTCCTCAACACAGTGCCCATCCCTGCTAACACAGATAATGCTGGCATGTTGGCAGAGAGTCAGACTGCCTCCTGCAGCAATAGAAACACAGGAAAACAGGATTTAGAAAACAGAAAAGGACAAAAAGTCAGCAGGGAAAAATTTTGTTTTCATGTTTTAAGAGGGGATTACAAACAGCTGCTGAATTTAAACAGATTATTGGAGGGTTTACTTTTTAATTGCTCCGCAGCTAGAACCCCGTATAATCAACTTCATGCCAGTGTGAACAACATTTCAATTATAAAGTCCTGGAACCCAAATCTTATAATGTTAGCACTCAAGAGCCCAGATGAGGTTAAGGAATTGTTACAGGTATATATTTTAAAATCAGATTACTGCAGCCACGATACATTTGCAGTATGTCAGGATAATCCCAATCTGTTTTCCCCTTGTCTGCATGTTATACTGGTGAGATGCCATCTCCTCCACTTCATAAAGAGGCACGTTGCCCATCTGAGTCGCCCAGGGCTATTTTGAGTGGTCTGTATCTACACCAACTCTGGATATGAGTTTGGCAAATCTCACAAGATAAGAAGTGGCAGGCCTGGTCAGACCACCATGCAAAATCCAGAGTATTGTGGAGCATGACCTGTGTGACCCAGGAGAGAGGGTGGGAAGGGAAATTCTGCCATTTCTCTGATTACACCAACATGGTGTTAGGTGCACTCTGCAGCTAGGGATGCTGTCTTTCTGGCAACATGTAAAACTTAAGTAAAACTCTCAGTCATGTCACTTGCAACAGTGGGGGTGTCAATATCTGGGTTCAGCATCCATCCAGTCTGGAACATTTTCCCTGCAGTTCAATTGGCTTCAGTATCCTCCACTTTCTGCCAATGGTTAGACAGTGTTGCTGCCTGCTGCTAACAGCTGTTTGTTTCACCCCAATGGTGGGTGATGGGTATGTGTGCGCGCACAGTCAGAAAGATGCTTTTGCATCCAAGGCACTATGGGCCAGATCCACAGCCCAGGGGAGTCTTTCCACAAGTCCTCCACTTATGGGAGGTATTACCTGTCCTCCCATCTGCTCCACTAGTAGCACCTTCCCTGGCAGAAGGAGGAGTTTCTGCTGTACCCCTTCTCCCCTTGTTTAGGGAAGACTTATTGGATATGGTGAGGTCTTTGGCCCTCCCTTGGAGGGGGATAAGAAGCCAGGCACCTGCTGCTCCCCTTCCTAGGCCAAGGGAGAAAACAGCTAGAGCTCAGCAAGAGGCTGCAGCTGGGGTCAGCCATGGAAGGCAACTGAAAGGTATCAGGAGCAGGAGTGCTCCAGGCCTGGCCTGGGCCAACCAATGTGAGGATAGCAAGGGGTGGGGAGGGAACAAGCCTGGCCCAGGGGAGGTGAACCAGATGAGCAAATGATCTTCATTCTCCTTGTTCACCAGCCCAGTGTAGAGAGCTGGAGGTAGGGTGACCAGACAGCAAGTGTGAAAAATCGGGTTGGGGGCTGGGGGTATTAGGAGCCCATATAAGAAAAAGACCCAAAAGTCGGGACTGTCCCTATAAAATCGGGACATCTGGTCACTCTAGCTGGAGGAATCAGCAGGGACTGTTGCAACTACTCCTCCGACTCACTTGCTCTGCAGCTGAACTGAGGCAGAATGAGTGGGGTTTCCCCTACAGGCCTGACAGTGTAACAGCAGCAACTGCCCTCGCCACAACAGTGGTTAATGTTTTAAGATTTTGTTCACAGCTGTAAAGGCTGGGATCAAGGAGTTTGGGGGGTTGATTTTTACAATGAAAGCTTAGATTCTGCAGGTGAGGACGAGATTGGTTATACTCACTTGGGGAAGCTTCCCACTCAGCCGACCCCAGCGTAAAGATGTTAGATCACAAAAAACGATAACGTCCCATTGTCAACTACAATGGAAAAAGCTTCCTCAATACACAGAGGCTGCTCTCTTTCTTGTCCACATATTAAACTGTGATGGAGAGATTCTCTTCTCATGCTAATTACAATGGGGGAAAGCATTTTTTTAAAGCAAATTTTAAACTATCCATAATATGTTAAAGTTAATTTGCTCTTTTTAATAAACAGACTGAGTCTTGGAGCCAGATATGCAGATGGATAAACTAGAACACCATTTTTTGAACAAATGTCCACTGTAGCTTTTCCACGCACAGTTCCAGGCACCATCTGCTTATAAAATAATCAAAAACCAAGTCCATTTAAGACTAAAACTATATTTACCCACAAAGACCTCTATTCAGGACAGCATTGAAGCACACACAATTGCATTGGTGTGACAAGAGGGGTATTTTTAAATAATTTTAGCTAAACAAGTGAAAAACCTTGCATAGACACTCTTAAACCTGGCTTATGCCAGTAAGTTGATCAATGCAAGAGTGACCATGCAGGGGGTTTACATGGGTTTAACTAGCACTTGGATTTTTAGACCAACTTTAGTTGAAACTGGTGCAATATCTGCTTACAGACAAGGCCTAAGTCCCATCTCAACAAGGATGTGTTTTCCTGAATCAGGCCTAAATGTTTAGATGTGTGTCAAAGCTTACTTGAAAACAGCATTCAAGTTGGGGTGCTCTTGCCCAGTGAATTCTACGGGGAAGATTTTCTCCATCACAGTTAAAGGGGGGCAATTTAAAATAAAATTGCCTTTGATCTTTTTTTTTTTAAACATTATTGGTTCAACGAATATCTAAAATAGCAGAAAATGAAAGATGAGAGAAAAACATTTCTTTTTTCAATTTCATTCTGTGCCATTTGACAGCCTGTCGTGTATAACTAATAACGCTCTTTGGAAATTCTCTGATGGAACGTTTTTCCGTCCGAGAATGCCAAATTGTCTAAATTAAAACGTTTTGTGGAATGTTCCAGGTTTCCTGGCAGCTCCCCCGCCTGGCAGCCTGCTGAGAAGCTTGGCCTTTCAGGTTCTTGGCTCTTCAGCAGCAAATCTGGTGTGCCGACATGGAGCTGAAAACAACTGGCTCCCAAAGACCATTGCTCCTCAGTAGACTGTGTCTCCCAGGGTCTGCGGCAGCCCACCAAGTGTACTGTCCCAGACCTCGTACTCCATTCTCCTACACAGAGAAGTTCAATTTTTCCCCCCCCCCATTCCAAAGGGGATTTTTTTTTTAAAGATTAAAATCCTCCATGAAATGGAATTACCTTTCTCCACAGAGCTCTAATACCCAGTTTCCGTTTCTCCTCCCATTTGTATGGATACTTACAAAGGAACAAGGAAAATAAAACATTTTTTTTAAAACAACAAGAAAACGTAGTTGTAAACCATAAATACTGGCTGGGGGACTGAAGGGCCAGTCTAACATCTGCAACTGTACTCAGTGCATTTTTAAACTGGTTAGATTTCCAGCTGAAAGCATCCCTTTAATCTAATCACAGGAAGGATGGCAGTCTCCAACGTACATTTGAAAGAAAACACCAGTTCTCTAACAGCCAATAGCTTTTAAACTGACATTACCTCAGCATTTTTACCCATATGTTTTCCTCAGCCCTCTTCCATAATAAGACTATTTAGATGGAGCACTGAACTGTCACTAACGCAGTTCATGGCAACCGGGGGTTATTTCAAAGAGCCATTTGAACTTGTGTTCTTATTAGCTTCTTTCTGAACAATCAGGCTGTTTCCTTTCTGCAAACTGGCTTGTAACTGTAAGGCAGCTAAGTACATTATGTACAGCACTTTTGCTACTATAATTGAATTACTGTTGCATGACATTTGTTTCAATGAACTGTGGGCTTCACTTTAGCATCAGTACAATTCTGCACCATGCAAACAATAAGAAGCATTCCTACTTCACAGAAACAGCCCCCCAAAACTTTAGAGACAATTTCTTCTTTTTATAGTACTCTGGAGAATCAACCTCTCTCATCCTTAAGATTAGGAAAAGCAAACTTGGTGGGGGGAGAAATGGCAGGGCCCAATGTGAAGCCTAGAAGGATTGCCCAGGAAAGGATGAGAAGCAGCAGCACAGAACTGAAGTCAGAAACTGGGTTAAAAGCTAGCGATGGGACCAGATTGCAGGGTAGGGGGAGGTGCAGAGCGGGGCTGGAATGGCAAGTGCCATAACTGGAATAATCTGAAGGGAGACATATGGGCAGAAACAGAATGAAACTATTCATGGGTATTTTGGCATTAGATGTTCTGTAAACAGCTGTCCTGTCTACCTTGCTTTGATTCTTCCATCCTTCACTTTTTCTATTTTTTTGCCTTTTGCTGTATTTTGGTCTCTCTGTCTTTCAGTGGTCTTTCCCTTCATTTTATGTTTGTCTGCAGTGTTACCTTGTCACCCACCAACCCTTATTTCTCAGTGTTGTATTCTCCTTTCTTCCTCATCTTCTGTCATGTTCCCCTGCTTGTGTCTACTCTACTTCCCTTTGTTATATTATTCTTTCCCTCTTGGTTTCTCCTTGCATTTCTTTCTAAATCAACAGAAGTTAGGCACCGAGGCACTTATGAAAATCTCACTTGGTGCCTATCTGCATATTTAAAATCTGGCCCTATGATCTTGTCACAAGGGGCACACACAACCCCTTGCTCGGGGCAACCCTAAACCTCTGACTGCCAGAAACCAGGAGGGGAAAACAAGGATGGATCACTCCAACTGCCTTGTTCTGTACACTCCCCCTGAAGTTCTGGTTCTGGCCTCTGTGGGACACAGGATACCGGGCTAGACCATGGTCTCACCCAGTATGGCAGCACTTATGTTCTTATGGTCTTGGAAAGAGCTGTTGAGCCCAGCAAGGGGCTGAAAGAACGGTGGTGTGGGGGAAAGACTTATTTTGATTTATGCTAATATCTGAACTATGATGTTGCTTAAATAAACCAGACCCCCCAAAAGTGGGGATAGTTGACTTGCAACTGGCTGGGTGTAGTTTTTGAGAAGCCCCGCAAAAGGGAAAACTAGGGCAGTGGCAGGGTGTGATGCTGGATCAGTGAAACCCTGGTACAGATCTAAAAAGCCTCTTCCATTTTTAGCTTCTCTGATCCCAATTTTGTTTTGTCTAAATGCTGAAGGAGACTACACTGACTGAAATGTGGTGTTTACTTCCTGATTAACCTGATGGCTCCCGAGACATAACGTAACATAGAGTGTGGTGAATCCTACTTAAAAATACCGTGGGGGGTTTTGTCGATGGGGGAGGGAAGAAGAAAAGAGTTGTCAGGGCACTTAATGACGTTTCGTTACTTACTGAAGGGTCTACTTGATCGTTTGTTACTCCCCTGAGGACAATTCTTAATGGATGTTTCATGAAAGGCGCCAAGCAGAGCAGACTTTCCAAATAATAGCCAATACTACGGTGGGGGCTGCAGTCGTGTTCCAACACCCCCCCGTACAGAAGGCCAGGCTGATAATATAGGGTGGTACCTTTAGAGAGCAAAGAAAAACAAGTGTCATTACCACACTAGAAACTCAGGAAGGGTAACACTCTGATACACAATGATGTCCACAGTGACATCATTTGTCCAGTAAATTCCTGGACAAAGAGGAATTTACAACAGCGCCGGGCAGCAATTCCAGTGCACTCCTCTCAACCCCACTTACCTCAGCAACTCACTCTGCAGCTCCAGGCACTCCAGGACGGAGGAATAGGAGGGCCAGGTTTTAACATTGTGTATCTGTTTTACCCATAAACCAAGGGATCTATCAATTACCATCATCAAGACCAATGAACACTACACTACACTAGCAACTTTCACCTTCCAAGACAGCTGAGTTATTACTGGCCCAGTGGAACAGGGCAATCTCAGCATGGAGTTCACGCTGGTAGGTCAGCTGCCTTACTGATTCTGTGCAGGCCTGATTCTGTGCAAGCATAGTTCACACTGAAGTCAATAGGAACTAATATGGCAAGACTGACCCAGAGGAGGTATATTCTAGTAGTCGCCCCTGCAAAAGCAAAAAGAGGGCAAGGAATCCTTTATATGAGACATAAAACCAAAAGAGTGATGCTTGTATCTCCTTTGCACCATACTGGGCATAAGGTCAGTACTAACTCAGGGCTTCCCTACGTTAGAAATTTTTGTACCTGTGCACATGCATCAATGCAGGTGCCCTACACTGATGTTAAATGGGGCTTACACTGGCGCAACTTACCCCAATTTTTCTATACTGTGGGAGGAAGAGAAAACTGCACTGTAGCCTTTATTTTTATTTAAAGTTAATTTTAGTGATGTTATATTAGATCATCAAGGGTTCACCTCGGGTGGCTACAGTCTTGAGTTAAACAGAGTCATCTCATCTCAACTAAAATCACTAGCAACAGCACCCATGTAGTAGCTATGCTGGGGTAACTACACCAGTGCAGCAACTCCTAATGCAAGCAACCTGTCAGAAGGACCACAACCACCTAGTGAATAATTGCCACTAATTCAAGTTGTGACACAAACCAAGAATTCCCCTCCCAGAAAATTCCAAGTTATGACTGATTCATATTTCTCTGAGCCACAGCATTATAGCAGAAAGCAAACTTAATGGAACGTGAATCACTGTTTTAGAACTTCCTGGCTTTGGCTCATTCTGACTCATCTCAGAGCATTTGTATATTTAACACTTGGTCCTCTGGAAACAGACCACCATCTAATCTGTCTACCTCCAGCTAACAGGTCCCTTCTCCCAGCTCCAAGTGACATACCATGGAAGAAAGGAACAGAGAAGAAGAGATAGTTACCTGTTTGGTTTATCTCAATCCTAGAGCCATTGGTCACTTTGTCAATCAGTCGTATAAAACTTGCTTCAAAATCTGTTGGGGTGGAAAAAGGATTGATTTTAAATTCTTTTCTTTAGGCAGTTATTCCTGGAAAAGTATTCAGCCTTTACGAGACATATTGATAAAGCTCTCTCTCCTCTCAATACCCCTGGGAGGAGGAAGGCAGATGGCTGGCTACTATTACTCCCAATTTTAGATATGGGGAAACAGAGGCACGGAAAGGTTGAGAAACTTGCCCAAGGACATAGAGGAAGTCAGCATCAGGGTTGGGACTAGAACTCAAGAGTTCATTGCTACTTGGAGGTAGGGACCTCCTCTCTCTTTCTGCATATGGACACTGGTAAGAGAAATATTCCTAATATGTTTATCAAATCTAATAGCTGGGATGTTCTCCCAGTAAAGGCATAATTCTGAATTTACACAAAATCACCAGTAAACCCTCTTTCACTCCATGGAAAAACCATGACTGAAGACACTGGAAAATGCTTAGAGCAAAACTAGAGTACACGTGTCCATGTGAGTGAGTGGGAAAGGGGAGTCTAGGCAGCTGAGCTGCTTTTTTACACTAATCATTTCACTGTTACCTGGGCCTCCTCCACTCTTCACTAGTTTGTTGTCTCCCAATTTATACTTTGATTGCAAGCTATTTGGTGCAATGGCCTTCTCTGCATTACAAGTATAGGTACAACGTCTAACACAATGGGGCCCTGACTAGGACACTTATGTGCTACAAATTAATAATAACCACCAGTTTTTTCCTGTAATTATAAGTTCTCTTTTTAAAGGATTTTTAAGCTTTTTGTTACAGAAGAAGACTTCAAAATGCAAAGTGTTGCTGCTAAACAGCTGTTAAATAGACACCATCAACATTCGGGTCTGGAAAGTTTTTTTATCTGCTGTTTCTACAAACAACACCTGAAGTGACAATAATAAAGATTAGAGAAAATTATTTATTTTTCCCACCTACTTCCCATTTGTTTACTCTGTGCATTACAGCACTTTGCACAGACTTAGTTGCTCAATTTCCCATTTGTGGACTCTCTTAAACAGCAACAAGGAAGAAAGAAGTAAGTGAATATAGCCAATCCACCCAATATGAAGGGAGACTCAGTAGTAAGTGTAGAACCTGAAACTATGCTGAATTTAAACTTAAAATCCAATCAGTTTTAAAAAGTAAAAGCATCCTCTTAATTGTGAGCAGGCTGTACAACTCTAGCTAACAAGTCATTAAATTATTATAGCTCCTTTTTAAACTGTGACCATATTTTGCTTTTTACTGAATTATTTAATCCACTGATCCAATGCATAAACCATTAACTATTTGCCACAACTACTGTTCCAGTTATTCACTATTCATTAATCAATATTTACATGCTGTAGATAGTTGCTGTCACATGGTGTTGGTTCCACTCTCAGCTTTGATGACTCTTACATTCACAAAGTTTTCAAGATGGCACTGTGATGATTTCCAGGGCGAATGTGTGTTTACGTGAATATTTACAACCTTTTCTGAGAACAGCCTTGCAGACAAGATTTCACTTGCACAAATATTCAGTCATGAAAATCAAATAAAAGGGGTTGCAAATACCAATGCAAATTCACTGTTTTTCATTTGAACACTTTTCTTGCATTAGTCACAAATCAAGTATTAATCCACCTTGGCCAAAAATAAATAAATAAATTAAATAAATAAAAGCTGTATCTTGTTAAAAGGAGTGGTAAAAGCTACGTACTCTACCTCAGTGGTTCTCAACCAGTGGTCTGGGGGTCCCTGGGGGGCTGTGAGCAGGTTTCAGGGGGTCCGCCAAGTAGGGCTGGCATTAGACTTGCTGGGGCTCAGGGCAGAAAGTCGAAGCCCCACCTCATGGGGCTGAGGCCTGGGGCCTCAAGCCCCAGGGCTGAAGCTGAAGCCTGAGCAACTTAGCCTCACGGGGCCCCTGTGGCGTGAGGCCACGGGCAGTTGTCCAGCTTGCTACCCCTTAACGCTGGTCCTGGCTTTTATATGCAGAAAAATAGTTATGGCACAAGTGGGCCAGGGAGTTTGTATAGCGTGTTGGGGGGGGGGGGGGCTCAGAAAGAAAAAGGTTAAGAACCCCTGCTCTACCTCCCACCAACCATCTGACTGGGGCAATAACATAGTTAAATAGTATCATAGCATCATAGCATTCAACCTAAGTACTAATCTTTGAGAATTTGGTGGTTTTGATTGGGGCTGGGACATAGGTGGCCGGGTACAGTGGTTGGAGCAGGAGTCAAGCCAAAGATCAGAGGCGGTGACCAGGGGCAAGGCAAGGAAGTCAGGCAAGAAGGCAAGACCAATGTAGCAACCAGGTAGAGCCCAGTTGTGCCGACAACTTCCTGGGCCTCTTTTTGGGTTTAAATAGTTAGTCCTGACCAATCAGAGGTCGTGGTGTTCCTCCAATCAGGACCCAGAAAGGCCTCCTAGAGGAGCTTCAGGTTTCATGATATCTCCATGCAGTCCCGTCAGTAGTGAGCTGCTGAGTGGGAGTAGGGAGCCAACAGCTGACTGGGAACTGAATTTACCCAGGTTTAAGACCTGTTGGTCATGACAGGTACAGGCTTAACCACCCTGTAGACTGAAGTTTTCTACTTGTCAGGCACAGCAGTGGCTGTGCAGGCTTCCCCACACAGTTCTGCTCATGTACTTGAACCCTGACAGAAGACAAACTGAGTTTTTGGGAGAGGGGGTAGCTTACTCTTGATGAACATTCATTCATTCATTGAGCAAGGGTGTTAAATAGCACAACTATGATGGTGTCTATTGTAATTTCCACCCAGAACTAGACTGAAAAATTCTCCAGAAAACTCATTTCTCAGGGACTGCACATGCAAAGAAATCCTAAGACACTCAACTGGAATTAGATTTTTTTTAAAATTCATTTCTACAGTGCCACAGATGTGCATAGTGCTGTACAAGAATGGAGAGGGGTTCCTGCCCTAAACAGCTCAGGGTTCTCTCTTAAAGCTATACACATTGGGGGAAGCTTTTTGAAATCTTTAGTAGATGGATTTATTTCCATTATCTTCACAGCTAGCTGCAGCTATTTGGCCAGAGGGAAGATGACAGCAAACAGTGAAAGAGGACCATTAAAACTGTTGAGAATGGGAGGCAGAGGCACAGCTTGAACAAGCAATAGGCATGCAGGACGAGGTGCTGGCACCAGCAGTCAATGAGTGGGACCATCTGATCCAGAATCTAAATGGCTCCTGGAGCACCCAGTCCTATTTAGAGGCAAGCCATCCCCAGATCTGGCAATTCTAGCGAGCAAGCTCTCAGAGTGGTAGCCGTGTTAGTCTGTATCAACAAAAAGAACGAGGTGTCCTTGTGGCGCCTTAGAGACTAACAAATTTATTTGGGCATAAGCTTTCGTGGGCTAAAACCCACTTCATCAGATGCATGCAGTGGAAAATACAGTAGGAAGATATATATACACACACACACACACACACACACACACACACACACACACACAGAGAACATGAAAAAATGGGTGTTGCCATACCAACTGTAATGAGAGTAATCAATTAAGGTGGGCTATTATCAGCAGGAGAAAACAAAACTTTTGTAGTGATAATCAGGATGGCCATTTCCAACAGCTGACAAGAAGGTGTGAGTAACAGTAGGGGGAAAATTAGCATGGGGAAATAGTTTTTACTTTGTGTAATGACCCATCCACTCCCAGTCTTTATTCAAGCCTAATTTAATGGTGTCCAGTTTGCAAATTAATTCCAATTCTGCAGTTTCTCGTTGGAGTCTGTTTTTGAAGTTTTTTTTGTTGGAGTATTGTGACTTTTAGGTCTGTAATTGAGTGACCAGGGAGGTTGAAGTGTTCTCCGACTGATTTTTGAATGTTATAATTCTTGACGTCTGATTTGTGTCCAGTTATTCTTTTGCGTAGAGACTGTCCTGTTTGGCCAATGTACATGGCAGAGCGGCATTGCTGGCACATGATGGCATATATCACATTGGTAGATGTGTAGGTGAACAAGCCTCTGATGGTGTGGCTGATGTGATTAGGTCCTATGATGATGTCCCTTGAATAGATATGTGGACAGAGTTGGCATCGGGCTTTGTTGCAAGGATAGGTTCCTGGGTTAGTGTTTTTGTTGTGTGGTGTGTGGTTGCTGGTGAGTATTTGCTTCAGGTTGGGGGGCTGTCTGTAAGCGAAGACTAGTCTGTCTCCCAAGATCTGTGTACTGTTTAATCAGGGTGTTAGAATCATCCATGCCACTTCACTCTTGGCATCTTCTCCCTTTCCTCTACAATATCAATTGATCTTTCTGCAGCAGCAAAAACCACAGAATAGACAGAATGATCTTCCATTGCCTAGATGGCCAAAGCTAACCAATGGCCCAGAGGAGAGCACAGTGAGATAGAGCAAACAAGGTCACTGGGAGGGGGAACCTGGCTCCAATTTGGTCTATGAATGAAGATGCTTGGAAGATGACAGGGGATTCTAACAACAATCTGATGAAGTCTGCCTAACCAAAAGGACTATTTCATTGGAAAAGGGGGGCCCATATATCATGACGGTCAAATGCTACCCCACTGAAGAATGTAAAGGCTTTTAAATTCATTGCACAATCATAGGGAATTCCCCACTTCAAGGCCACCTATGACAATTCTCGTGATAAGAAGAAAGACAGAAAAATGGGGGTCCACTGCATCCCATGGAAGCCCTCTGATTCTTTCCCTCTCCCCATTTTCTCCTGCTTTGTCACCACACAATGCACAGCACCACTAAAACATCTCTTAGGGCTTGCTTCACTACAAAATTAAGTTGACTTAATTTAGGTAGATCTACAGCCACAGCAGTAACTCAATTGGCTGTTGGTGTTCACACTACCTTCCTTCTGCCGGTGGTGCGCGTCCTCACCAGGAGCGCTTGAACCGATTGAAGTAGGGCTGTCAGCCTGATGTGAGGCTCAATTTCACAGCAGGGAGCCTACCAGCCTTTCTTGTCAATTTCACAATTCCAGTTGTGAGGCCTTGCTGAGTGAAATTGACAGCCAACAGCCCATGTAAGTAACGCGTGTCTACAAGGACACTGCCTGGTCATAATTACACCGACATAAGCGCTACACCTCTCACAGAGGTGGAGTTATGACATCGGCGTGGCAGGCCACTTACTTTGGCGGAAGCAGCATTCTAGTGTAGACACTGACGTAGTTAGGTAGAGGTAAACTGCCTTAGGTTAACCTAACTCTGTAGTGTAGACCAAGCCTTATTCATCACCTCTCTAAACTACACAAGCCTGTTCTTTTCCTCACGTGGACTGTCTCTCCATGCCTTAAACTGTGTCCATCACCTGACTTTGGTCCCTTTTCTCTCTTCTGTATCTTTTTTGAGTTAAGGGGACCAGAACTGAACACAGTATTCCAATTGGCAGCCATCCACTGATTTAGGACAGGTCTTTCAAAGAAGCCTAAGGGACCTAGATGCTCTAATTCCAGTGAATTTCCGTTGAAGTTGGACACCTCGGTATTTTAGACTCCTACAAAAAATTCCAGTCTTATTCAATAGCAGTATACTATTTTCTGGATTATTTTATAACTCATTTTAAATACAACTTAATGCTGGGGAGGGTGTTTGAGCACTGCTACACACTGAACAGATGTTTTCCTTGAACTGTGCACAATGACACCCAGCTCTCTTAACCCAAGGGGTTAAGGGTTAATTCAGAACTCAGCAATGTGTATGGCATCATCACTAACAGGTCCCTGGTGATGACAAAGCACTCTCCCTTGGTGTGCAAATAACTGCAGTTCAGCCTGAGAAGTGGCATTGGCAGAAGTCAAGAGGTTTAGATTGAGGAGGAAACCTGCCAGCCAAATAATTTACATTGAGCTCTTTCAGATTAACAGATCAGGAAACTCCGCAAGATAAGAAGCTGCCAAAAATACAGGGCCAGCTACAAGTGTTCACCCTCTATTCCTGGAGAGAAGTCCAAGAGAAGATGCATAAGATTTAAGGGTCAAATTCCTTATATTTGAACTAGATAGAATCATATGGGAGAAATAAGCTTTATATGTAAAAATACTGAACACATGATTAAGGGACTTTATATTTCACATCATTCGTAAAATGCCTTTGTCACTTACAAGTAGTCATGATACCTGCATCTATTTCCTGTGACTTACACCGTGTTTCACAGCATCTGCATCTCAATTCACCAATTCGTTAAAACATTTCACAAGAGACTAACTGCAGTGCATGGGGCCAGAGAGAGTACATCCATCAATGCCTCCTGTTATACCACACCGATAAAGGGACTGGACACATAGCTGGTCCATCCAGATCCACCAATTCAGAAATGGGCCTGCTTGGCTTGCCAAACCTTGCTCCAATGAGCTGTTAGTAGATTCCTGGACAGTCTTATTTCAAACTTTAAAACAATGTTCACTTTGGGATCTGCAATAAACCTTGGGAACATACCCCTGTTATTAAAAGGTATAGCACTGGGAGAGTAGTTCAATTCAAAGAACTTCACTGGCATAAGGTATGGAATTGCTGCCGATGCGTTTCTTTTCTTTTCGTTTCTAAGTACTCTTAGGACACTGTCAAAGGTAGATACAGTACATCAAGCATGCTCTCGGGAAAGGGCTTTACAGTGTAACTCGGGTTACGGCAAGTTCTTTAGGGGAACCAACAACATGGGGTTCAGCTCCTGCTCCAAGAACACCATGCAAATCCCTGACAGCGTGCTGGGGTGACAGGGACCCATGCTCCCTGTCTGGAGGAGGAACCCACATCTGCTCCCCCCTCCCATGCGCGTTATGAACGAAAACAAACCGCACTTCGGATTTAGTGCCTCCTTTAAAAACAACTGCTCCTTCCCCCAACACCGACCCCAGATTCAGATTGTTTCCATCACACAAACCCGTCCCACCCTCCCCCAAATCACTGCCCCGCCCCAAGTCCCCTGCCCCCTAAAAAAACTCCTCTCCCGCCCCACCCCTCTGCATGCCACCCCCATGCACGCCCTCCCTCCCTAGCCCAGGCAAGCCGCACGCTACCTCTGAGGCCGGGGTTCTCCTCCTTCGCCCGGATCTTGCGGATTTTCACCGGCCTACCGCTCAGCGTGGACAGCACCAGCCGCTGCCGCAAAAAGTTGCACCCCACATAGCTGAGAGAGTGCGGCTGGCTCGCCATGCCGCCGCCCGGCCGCCCGCTGGGCGCTGCTGCGATCGCGGCGCCGCTGATACCCCGCGGCAGTGCCCAGCGAGCCCACGTGGTTTGGAACAGGAAGACGGAACGCTGAGACATCTGGGTCAAAGGGGAAGGGGGCGGAGCCTCCCCTCCCAGAGGGAGAGGGGGTTGAGTTGGAAAGTCCCTGGTTTGGATGAGGCTCAGAGCTGGCAGTGAGCAAGATAACAACAGCAGTGCAGTGGCAATGATAGGGGTAGCGGGACGGGTGTTAGTAGCCAGAACAGCAAGAGCCAGACTGGCAACAGCAACATACCAGTAGTAATAACAGAAGCAACAGCAGGGTTAGGAACAACAGCAACAGGAAAAGCAGTAATCGGAATACTATGAAAACCGGAGCAAAAACAACAACAGCAGTAGTCAGAATACAGCAGCAGAAGCAATAGTAACAGTTAATCTCAGCAATAATCATAGCAGTAATGGATCAATACTAGCAGAGAAGTAGAAATCATAGCCACAGTATTAGTAATAAAGGTCCTGGTTCAGGAAAGTTCTCAAGTACATGCTTGACTTTGGGCATACCTAAGCACCCTTCCTAAATGTTTTCCTGAAGCAAGACCAAAAGCAGTGTAATAATAGTAAAAGCACCAATCTGTAGCCATAGTGAACCATCAAATCAGTCAGACGCAACTACAAATGCAGGATATGAAAAAAAGCTTAAAATTTGGTTTAATGTATTTAAATCCTTTGTCTGAATTGGTAATAATAAAACAGAATGTACCATTATGTTACATCTTCACAGTAACAAACTAATGTAACTAATAATGCTACATTATTTTTATTGAGAGTCATTTATCCACATTCTACATTATTATTGCTATCATTACACATTATGGGTTAGAACTTCTCTTATACTCCTGTGGTGGCTACCCAAATCTTGAGTCCAGATACACAGGGGAGGAAGGCACTGTATGCTCACTACTCCCCCTTCTTCCAAAAGTCAGTGGGCAGGCAGGCAGGGATAGGGTGAGCCTTGGCTCTGCTCCTAATGTGCCAGTCAACAAAGCTGAGACAGGGTGAGACTGTGGTGTAGTATATGTATCATATGACTTTTAAAAACAAACTTTGTATTTGTGGATAATCTAAGCACTATACCCAGATGTACAGACTCTCTTTTTTCAACCTGTGCTTTATATAATTTTAACATTCGCTTTAATAAAATTTGTTGCTGGGATGGCCAGCAGCAAACTACTATCTCCTTGAACAAGAGGCTGAGCAGAAGAGATTGTGTCTCCTGAACTACAGTTCCTTTCCTGCAATGCTCCTGAAGCGGTGGAGCATTCACCACCCCTTATTTGCAGTTGTCTTTGTGGCACAATCTAATGCTATTAAAAATTATCTAATGTCTGCATAGATCTGAATTTGGGTACTAAGCTTGTAAGGCACTAAGCTTAAGATACTGGGAGGGAATGGCTAGTGTCGCTTGCTTGAATTACACTCATGACTGTATCTTTAATAGTAATCATGACAAAGATGGTCTTCAGTGGAACTATGTGTCCAGGAAGGTATTGGTCACATGAGTAAAAGTTGCAGTATCAAGCCCCTTAATAGTAACATGAGTCTTCTCATGCATCTATCATTAATATAGGGGAGCAAGTATACTGTCTTCATATGGAACCCCCTATTAACAGCAAAAAAACTAAGCTAAAGTAGACAAAATGCAAAACAAACAGGATCTCAAATTCTCATCATAAAAAGTGAAAGACAAATACAGCCAGAAGGAGTCCTCCACTGAGGTTCTTTTCAGGGCCAACATCACAAACTCTAGCACTGGGTCAGCTTTCAAGGTGCTGCACCTCAATATTGAGGGAATCTCAGTGACCAAGAGGTATATCCTCCTCCAGTTGGTCATAGAACATGAAGCACACATCATCTTACCTCAGGAAACACACTCTAGTACTGACACTCAACTATCAATTCCTGGTTTTGCTGTTGTGTCTCATCTCCATCATAGGCAACATAGGATGGCATCCTACATAGGGAACGTATTCCAGCAACTCTAGTTTAATCATTAGGTCTAAATGATGTAACTGAATGGCAGGCTATAAAAGTGAAAGACATTACTCTTATCAGTGTCTACAAACCTCCTTCTGCCAACTGACCAACTCCTCTTCTGTCTACCTTCTCAGGACCTTCAGTCTACTGTGGTGATTTTAATTCACACCGTTCCCACTGTGGAATAAGGCTAGAGGAGTGGAAGTCAATAGTTGACTTGCAGCTTCTATATGATCCTATTGACCCAAGCAATTAGCCAATATTTGGGGTTTTGAAGGCTTTTTCCAGTAGGAGAAATTGGTGATGGAGTCAGCTATTTCTTTGATGCACTCCTGTTTGTTTACAAACAATGTACATAAAGTCCTGTTGCCCTGAGTAAAGCAGGAATCAAAGAGCAGGAGACAGTTTCTTTGCTGACAGTTCCAAGCCTCTTTCAGCCAGCACTTTACTATAAAAAATCTCTTTCTAGGCTTTTTTTTCAGGACCACGCTCCCAGTGCTTGGTCTGGCTGTCTCCTTGGATTTCTGCTGTTTCTCTGTCAGCTTCTCTGGGAGTTTCTGCTGTTTCTCTTTGCACACACATGCACACTTCCACCTCAGCAATACCCAACCTTCTCTGCTCATGTAGCTTGGAGTTGGATTGCTGAACAGTGTTGAATGTGTTTTGAGCGGTAGATTCTATTGTTTCAGCTATCTCATTCCAGAAAGAACGAGGAGTACTTGTGGCACCTTAGAGACTAACAAATTTATTTGAGCATAAGCTTTTGTGGGCTAAAACCCACTTCATCAGATGCACGCAGTGGAAAATACGGTAGGAAGATATATATACACAGAGAACATGAAAAAATGGGTGTTGCCATACCAACTATAATGAGATTAATCAATTAAGGTGAGCTATTATCAGCAGGAGAAAAAAACTTGTAGTGATAATCAGGATGGCCCATTTCCAACAGTTGACAAGAAGGTGTGAGTAATTGTTTCTTACATTTTGAAGGGCAGCTGTTTACACACACCACTTTCAGTGAGGTTTCACCCAACTCCCAGCATGACAATAACATATCAAAAAGTTTATTTTCTAAAAATATAATGACCATCTTTACAGATACTGATTAGTTACTTACTCTTCAAGTAGTTCCTTGCCCACCACCAAAAGTTTCCTCTTGAGTTACTGAATCTGCCAACCTTGTACTCTCAAACCAACTCCTCAAAACGAAGAAAAAGCAGCAGCCAAAGAATGAGCAACAGACAAGACAAAGTCCGGATAATAATACTTACTCACCTCTCAAGAGTCTCGTGAAGCTAAATTAATTAATATTGGTCAGGTACTTTAGGATCCTCAGTACTATTATACAAGTGTTTAACAAACTCATGGCTTGTAGAAGGATACATCAAAAGAGAGACAGAGCCTCATGAGTACACAAAAGCAGTCCTTAAGGCTTAATTACATTCCAAACAAAACTGACCAACAGACCTGCTCCCCAAACTGCAGAATGTGTTTCAAAAAGGAAGAGTTGGTGGAGCATGTGTTGACTCCCTGAAAGAGCCTGGCTGGGAGAGAATATATGAACAGACACAATGAGATTGCCAAGCGTCTCAATTGGAACCTCTGTGGCAGGTATGGAGTTAAACGAATGATGCAGTATTACAACCACCGAATTGAAAGAGCTCTAGAGAATGAAGAGGCTCAGGCCTGGTCTACACTACGACTTTAATTCGGATTTAGCTGCGTTAATCCGAATTAATCCTTAACCCGTCCACACAACGGAGCCAGTTACTTCGAATTAAAGGGCGCTTAAAATCGATTTCTGTACTCCACCCTGACGAGCGGAGTAGCACCAAAATCGATTTTGTAAATTCGAATTAGGGGTAGTGTGGCCGCACACCACCGAATTAATGTGGTTAAAATTAATGGGGTAGTGTGGCCGCACACCACCGAATTAATGTGGTTAAAAACCGAATTAATGTGCTTAGTGTGGCCGCGCACAATCGAATTTATACAATCTGTTTCCCAAATTCGAATTATCTAAATTCGAATTAATCTCGTAGTGTAGACGTACCCAAAGATTTTATAGGATCTGGCAATTGTCACAGACTGAACAGTGCAGGCAAACAGGCCAGACATAGTCATTATAGAAAAGAAGACAAACAAGACCATGCTAATTGATACTGCCATACCAGCAGACAGAAACATAAAAAAAGAAACAAGAAGAGAAAATGGAAAAGTATGAAGAACTCTATCATGAAGATTATGGAAAACTGGAACAAAGATGACCCCAGTGATTATTGGAGTACTTGGAACTATCCCTATGGGTACAAATGAGCAGCTCAAGAACACGTTAGGAGTGCAAGACATCACAATCAGTGGCCCCCAGAGGACAGCACTCTTAGGCACTGTGAGAATTTTAAGGAAAATCAAAGGAGAATGAGTGCATTTGAGCACATAAAATGCAGGAATTCTGCAGAGGGTTTATCTACCCAAACCTATGGAGTCAGTTCATGGTCATGGGGGATAAATTTTAGACAGTAGCTTTCTCCTTTTATGCTTAAAGATTTTGTATGTTGTGACGTTCAAAAAAATCCCTATGATATAATACAGAGGGATAATAATAACTAACTACAACTATCAGTAAAATGGAGATAATAATCCTTACAATGCAGGAATGCTATAAAAATTTGTTAATGTTTGTAAGTATCCTGTAGATGAATATCACTGTGTATACTAATTACTAACTCTTAATTCTATATCTGACTCCATATGTGTGTGTTTGGTTTACAACTGTGGTGTTTGTATGGTATGTGGCCATAGACGTTAACAGTCCTTAGTAGCACTGTCATGTTATGCTGTGTCACTGAGTGATTTCATTTCTCTGAAACCCTTCAGCTCAGTATTTATTGGCATGTAAATAATTCAAATCCTAGAGTGAAATGCGGTATAAGGAACTGGATACAGTCCCAAGGCAAGACTAAATCCGCTTCTGGATGGCATTTTCCTTCAGGCAGCGCTATCTTTTTCGTA